ATATATAGATATATAGATATATAGATATATAGATATATAGATATATAGATATATAGATAGCGAGCCCAGGCAGGAAACTTCAGGGAGAACCCTAACCCCCAGGAAATGGTGGGGACTTGGTTGTGCATGCGGTTAAATGTTCTCGGAGAGGGCTTATTATCCCGGAAGGTCTTATTTTAGGGAAACTGGGTACCTAGTTGGGTAATGAATCATCTGCAAGGAAACACTAAGCTCAAGAGAGTATCAAGAGCTACACAATCACTTCTGTCCAAACTATTGCTTTTTCACGATCCTGTGGCTGAACTCTTTTTTTTCCCCCCTCCTCCTAGCGGTGTGTCCACAACGATAGACCCCTTCTGGGACATCAGTCTGGACTTGCCCGGTTCCTCCACCCCATTTTGGCCTCTGAGCCCAGGCAGCGATGGCAGCGTGGTGAACGGAGAGAGCCACGTGTCAGGAACCACCACCCTCACAGACTGCTTGCGAAGGTACAGACTGGCAGACTGGCATTAGAAAGGAGCAATCTCACCTTCCCTCCTCCTGTCTGCAGATGAGCAATTGGCAGGCAGATGGCCCAGGAGCACAAAAAAAAACAAAAAACCAAACCCCCACCACCGCATCTGCAATTATTTCTGCTGAATCATCGTGCAAGCAACTCAATTCCCTTGTAGGAAAAGAGGTCAGGACAAAAATTAAGCATGTAGCATAAAGTTGATAGAAGCTGGTAGGTAATCAAGACAAACAACCCCCTCAGTTTAGCTTTTCCCCATGATAAATTCTCAGCAGGGTGTATCCTTAATTATATTAGATGGTAGACGGTATTACTTCGTATGTTGCAAAGCGAGGTGAGCTCAGGATAAACAAAAACACCTTTGATCTCTCATCTTAACAGGCGTTTTAAATAAAACGTCGTTGAACTATGGCCTACATGTGCGGCATCTCTGTAGAGACTTAGGTGCAGGTTCGCAATCCTTGTTTTCCTTAATTCTGGATAGTCTGCCTCTTACCTATCCCTCCCTCGCTCAGTGAACGGAAGTGGAGTCTCATAGAGGTAAGGAAGAGAAAGCCAACATAACAGAGGAATTGCCAAGTGAAGCAGCCAGCCAAAAGCAGGAAACCTCCATTGCTTCACCAGTTTTTGGACCCAGAATTTGGAAATTCTACTAGTCTTTTAACAGATTGTTCTGCTAAAATACAATGTGGAATGCATCTTAGTGCTGAATTCAAGAAAGATCGACAGACGAGCAATGTCCAGCAGGTTTCATCCTTCTTTGAAAACACAGTAAGCAGATTGCTTTTCCGTCCCACCTGATGCAACTATCACTTCACAAAAAATATCTGAAAGGTTATAGAATTATCACACAACCACCTCTCCTCCTGGAAGATTGGAAAGAAAATATTTGCTGGAGAATTTGCACAACAGAATACAGAAATCCATTCAAAGAAGACCGTACAGACTTTCTTGACTCCAAATGGATAACAGGACAGTCGAGATAGAGGGGCCTCAATGAATTTACACTCAATTTCCTTGCAAGAATGGGAGATGGTTTCATCTGTAATTATCCATAGTCTCGGTTGAATATTGAAAATATTTCCACAGCTTTTAACTGTTTACCTGTTCACTGTTTCATTGTTTGCCACCTGTTTACCTGCTTTGGGGTTAGTTAAATGAAGATACTCATGGGGATATCTTTCTTCGTTCACTGAATCATCGCACTGTAATTAGGACATTGAGAACTAAATTGTTTAGGACGGTAGATTGGTTCCTCCCCCTAAGATGCTTCCATTTTCTTGGAATCTGGCAAGCACCTTCAGAACAATGCTAACCAGATCCATTCGGCTATCACTATTATAGTAATTAAGGTCATAGGAACAGCCTTACTGGATCAAACTTCCATCTAATCCCATAACTGTCGGCTGGTACATATTTTGGTGGCCACCCTAAACAAATTCTGGAGTTCGCCTTTAAACCTTTTCCTTTAACGTGGAAGTACTACTGTACAGTAACAATGCCAATAGAGCTATGCTTTTGTCTTATTGCTTCATACTATGTAGGGTTTATTTGTTACCTTAACACCAAAGCCAATAAATACATCGTCTTGCTTTCTAAGTAATTCTGCTCCATTCATCAAGCAGGAAATTTCAGAAGACGTTAATCTCACATTCCAAGTTAGTTTTGGCTCTCCAGAGATTTTAGGAGGCTGTTTCTTTCACGTCAGAAGTAGATAATGGCTAATCTGGAACTGTTGTAGCTTTAGGCAAGATTGGAAGAGAAATGCTGCAAATATGAAATCCTTGAGGCTTCTGGATTCTAGCTGTCTTTAGCTGTAACCACTACAGTCAGCAGCCGCAATTGCTAAAAGATATAATTCGTTTAGAAGTTGTGTACCCTTTGTGTAGAGACTTGAGGATTAGTTCTGTGTAGTCTGTGTCTCTCAAATGGCTAGTTTTGGCATGGCTGTTCCATGCGAAGAATGCGTTGTATGTAGAAGGCCTGTTACCAAACGATCTTCTTGATGGACGGAGGACACCAATTTGTATGGAAGAAGGTTCAGTGTTGGTCTTATGTGCTGCCTCAGTACAGAATTCAGATTTACTGTTTCAATAAGCGATCCAAGCAATGCCTCAACAATTCCAAGGTTTGCATATTCCTTTTTTTAACCAGTTGATCTCTTTGAGCCTGGAAGGTAAGGATGGCAATTATAAAAACCTGCATTTAGATTTCACCCAAGATCAGTGGTTCNGGTCAGTCAAAAGTTCTCCAGAATTCTTCCGCCAGCATGACCTTTGTCCCAGGAAGTGCTGAGATTTGAAATTGACATTTCAAGAAAGTGTCCAAGTTGGAAAAAAATGGCAGTGGGGTGGGGGTGGGGGTAGAGGACCTTTGAAGATACGTTTAGGGATCCATTAAATTTATTTTTCTCCACTTTGGAGAAAGAGTTCTTCTAGAAAGGTACCAAGTATCACTGCATATAAACCATTTGGAAATCACCCTGTCAATAACCTTAAAATGCTTAAACTAGTAATTTAAATCTCCTGCTTTGGTATTTTGCTGGTTTTCTTCATGCCAGGGGTAAGTTATGTCAGTGTTGTCTCTTTACTTAAACACTTGTTTCTTCTCTTCAGGAAATGTCGAGAAAATAAGGAAATCTCTTCAGATTTTAAATGTCTGTTAACTAAAGGGCAACTTGATAACCCGCTGTCTTTTTAAAATGACACTGAACATGGTGTTTTTGTTTGTTTGTTTGTTTTTATTGTAGTAAAGAGAGCAGAATGAATGGGCAGTACCAGCAACCAGCAGATAGTCTAAACAGTGATAATAAGTAGGTGGCTTTGTCTTCTGTGCTTCTTGGTTTCAGATACGTCCCTTAAAACAGTATAAAAAGCTGCCTATTTTCAGTAGCCTGGATTGTGTTTTTTTTTTTTTGGAGCACTTTGTATTCTAAACTAGTTCTGGGGGGAAAAAAATTGTCCAGGAACAAAATACTGTTTCTTCAAACAGTTGGCTTTTCCATCCTCTCCCCTGTCCCCTCAGCCTTCCTTCTATCTACTCTTAAAGATTTACTACTCCACAAATTTTACCTACTCATTTGTCCGATTAAAGTGGTCCCTGATTTGGCAAAGCCCACCCAGACTCTGTAGAGAGAGTGGCACGCAAATAGGTGTAATAAATAAAACCTTAATACACCTGACATTTTGACAGCTTGGATTGGCATTGATAATCAGAGTAATATGTATAAACACTGTTGATGTTTTTCAGAAATACTAGATAATATAGGTAGCCCTCGACTTACATCAGTTCATTTAAGGGACCGTTTGAAGCTACAACAGCAATGAAAAAAGTGACTTGCGA